TCGGAAGCAGTCTTTGCTGCCTTGTTGAAGAGTCCGGTAGCCCATGCCGTTCCGGTGAGCACATACCTATTCTTCATGATGGTGGAGCCTGCAGAGCTCACTTTCTGCTCAGCGACGGCGAATGCCGACTTCGTCTTCTCAGAGACCTGAAACTTTTGGTCCATCTCCTTGACCTTCTCATTGACGGCCGAAGTGCCGATGCTGATCTTCTCGCTCAGTCCAATCTTTTTGTCAAAGGAAGCAACTTTGGCAGTAGCAGTGGATGTGAATTGATGTTTTTCATCCAAAGATTTGGCTTTGTTGAGAGCATCTTTGCCCAGGATGAAGCCCTTAGCAAGCATTGTGCTCACAACATCTTCAGCCTTTTGGACTGCTGTTTCGGCGCCAGCAGCGGGGTGTGAAGCAGATGGCTGTAGATTAACAAATAAGTTTGGGTTAAGAAAATAAAATTATTCAAAGAAAACAAAAACAGTGAAGGATTTTAGTTTGATTGACCACAGGAGGAGCTGAAGCAGATGGAGGTAACTGGTAATCGGGGTCGAGGGTGATGACGACCGAGAGATCGACAATGGTGGCACCCTGTAAAATTACAAATATGTTAGCTTTTATGTCATGATTTTTGTTGGAGATCTTGAGAATCTTACATGCGACGACGGCAATGCCTCTAAAATAGATGATAATTTCATGGAAGATTAACATGCGTGCTACACATTTCCTATGTACTTGCATATCTAACACCTAAATTTCAAATTTTACATATGTGCTATTTTACTTTTACCTACGCATGAAAAAGGTTTATTTCACTTTTTAAAAAAACAAAACAGCGATATTTTTATATGATATAAAAGATTTGGGTGGTGTGTTTTTGGGTACAACAAGCACACAAAAATAAATATTTTACTTTTACCTATGCATGAAAAAGGTTTATTTCACTTTTTAAAAAAACTGAAACAGCGATATTTTTATATGATATAAAAGAATTGGGTTGTGTGTTTTTGGGTACAACAAGCACACAAAAATAAAAAAAATATTGTCAAAAAAATCATTTAAATAAATCTGAAGAGAAAACCCGATAACGAAGATGTAAAATACATCAATATAGATAAGTAAATAAATAAATGCGGAAACAAAACTTAAATCATGAGAGAGAATATTTGGTTTATAAACCTTCTAATCCAATATGATTTTCTATTTAGAACAATCTTTGCATTCTTCTGATGATAGGATGTTAGAGATGTTAGAATAAGAATAATTTCTTATCATCTTTTGAATTGGGGACCATAACCATATTTAAGTGAAAGAACACATCTAAAAGAATGTCTCTTTCTAAAGATTGTATCTTATCAAAAAGGATGTGTCATATTTCTAATTTAGTCCACAATATCATTAAAAACAAATAATTAGGTCCCTATACATAATTATTTCATATTTTATTTTATACCAGAACCCGTATTTCTTTAATATTAATTCACCTTAAAAAAGAGTAAGATTTTAAAACAGCATTTGATTCATATTTAATTACATATGGTAGGCCCACATATTTGATTATTTTTTCTAACAATTTTCCACTTGGGCTATATATGTTCCTTAAGAAAAGTGTATAACTTTATGAGCTCAAACATTTTGCTAATTTAAATAGAGATATATCTTAACAATATCATCCATTAGTTATATGGATATATGATCAAAGCAATTTTTGTTATATTTAAGATAACTGAATCCATCAATGATTACATATATTAATATAACTATATGACATTAATCAAATATGAATGTGTATAATGAAAATAACATGTATGTGATCTAAGCATGTCTATTTTCAATTGGTCCAACTTTATTCCTTAATGAGATCAACTTATTTAAAATCAGAGCAGAATAAATAAAATTCTTTATTTATACATAAAATATTTATATTCAAAATATCCAAAATACCCATAATAGCATCTAAACAAAAACTCACAATATACCAGCATATCATCAAATGATACAACACCCATATGAGTAAATAAATGCTCATGAAAGACCTTTAGTAAGTGTTTCTGCTGTCATTAAATTTGTATCAATGTTAGCTATAGACAACTGTTCACTTTGAAGTCTTTATTTTACAATTAAGAATTTAATGTATATATGTTTTGATTTTGATGTACTCATATTATTATTAGAATATATCAGCTGATTTATTATCACAAAATAAAATTAATGATCTTTCAATATCTTCTAAAATTTGTAATGCGCTAATAAAAATTTTCAGCCATATTCTATAGTTAGAAGCCTCATAACAAGCTATAAACTTTGTTTTCATGGTAGAAGAAACTATAAGAGTCTGTCTAAAACTCTTCCAAGAAATGACTCCTCCAACACGCAAGTAGATAGACCTTTTGTGGATTTTTTAGTGTCTTGACAGCCAACAAAATCTGAATCAAAATATCCAATGATCTCTAATTTGTCTGATTTTCTATATGTGAGCATGTAATCATCTGTTCTATGTAAATATCTCATAATCTGTTAGCTGCTCTCTAGTGATCCATTCCAAGATTACTTAAGTATCTGCTTAGCAATCCAACAATATATGTTATATATGTGCGTGTGTGCAAACCTGAGCATATATTAGACTCCAAATAGTTGTTGCATGGGAAATTTTTTGCATTTCTTTAGCTTCAAGATTATTTTTAGGACACTGATTGAGACTTCATTTGTCTCCCTTAGCAATAGGAGTGTCAAAAGATTTACAATTCCACATTTAAATTCTTTTAAGTATTTTCTTGATGTAACTCTTTTGTGACAACCAAATATCCCACGAGAACGATCATGATATATTTTTATACCTAAGACAAAAATGATGCCACCAAGATCATTCATTTCAAATTTCTTTGATTTAAGTATTTTAGTTTCATGCAGTAAACCACTATCAGTACTAATATGGAGTATATCATGCATATATATTATAAGACATATATACATACTCTCCTTAAATTTATGATATAAACAATAATCAACTGCATTCATCTCAAAATCAACTGAGATTATTACATGATGAAATTTATAATAACACTGACGGAAAACTAGTTCAAGTACATAAATGAATTTTTTTAGTTTGCAAACCATTTTCTTTGGGCCTCCTAATTCAAAGTTTTCTGATTACATCATATAAATTATTTCATTAATATTACTATTTAAAATGTTATTTTTACATCCATTTGAATTCACTCTAGATCAAAATGTTCTACAAGAGTCTTGATGATTCTGCAAGAGTCTTTCATTGAAACCGAAGAGAAAGACTCTTTATAATCAATACCCTCTTCTTGAGTAAAGCCTTCTGCAACAAGACGTGTCTTATATCTCTCTACATTAACTTTTGAATCCTTCTTTATTTTAAATATTCATTCACAACCAATAGACTTCGCACATTCAAATAATGGAATGAGATCTCAAATCTCATTGTCTTGCAAGGATTTAATCTCTTCATTTATGGCATCGATCCAGCTTTGAGAATCCTAAATTAGTTTGACTTGGTCGAAATTAATTCGATTATTTTCACGACTCCAACATAATTTTCATGTTCTTGGAAAAAAGTTATGCAATCATTTGGAATTGCAATTTCTCCTTTCTGGTGTGGATCTTCTTTACATCATATGATCTTCAAATTGTTGAATTTGTTCTACAGGAATAATTATTTCATTTTCTTGGGAAGTTGCCTGATATTATGTTGAGATTTTGAATATGTTATTTCATGAATGTCGAGAATAAAAATATAATCATTATCAAAAGTAATAGTGTGAATAAGAATAGTAATGAGATCATAAAAATTGTAACCTATCGATCTCTCAGAGTATCCAATAAAAGAGCAACTAACTGTTCTAGAATCTAGTTTTTTCTCATTTTGCCTGTAAGGTTCTGTCTCAGCTAGACATCCTTGTTATGGGATTAAAATAAATGTGAATCACCTATTCGAGAGATCCGTAACAAAATACTTGAACAAAATCATACAAATAAGTAATCCAATCATACAAATAAGTAATCCAGATAAAACGCAAAGCACACCAAGATTTAATGTGGAAAACCCAAACAACAGAAAAAAAATCACGGAAGCACGCCACTCCAAGAATTTTTTTAAGAAATGAGAAGAAATTATATATTTTACACTACACTCAAGCAACTCTACTATCTTGAAACTCATCAACACTTCTTTCTTTTCTCATTCGCACAACAGAACTCACAAAAATTTAACACCAACTCGCTACACTTTTCACACTATTTACATGAACCTCCCGTGAAGAAATTCGAAACTTAAAATTTTGAACTACTGAAATCGGTTACAAGCACCTAGGTGCCACCCCGAGTGCCGAGTTTTAGGGATTTGTTTCAAAAATGCTGTAAATTAATTTTCTAGGGACTTAAGCACCCCAATTGGCGGTGATTTTCCGCACAAGAACCTTTGGTTGGGACTTTAAGCATCCGACTAACACCGAGGCGCTTGCTCTAGCATTGGGTTGGCCACTGCTAGGAACAGAGGCACCCCCTGAGCGTTGTATTGCCCACTGCACTATTCCTAGGTGCTTTTCCATGTCAATCAGACTCCACACATAACAATCTCCAACTTGAAGTATGATTTACAATCACCTCTCCACCAAATCTGCATTTCATAGCTGTGTAAAGTAGTATGACTCACCAATGGTCTTAACCTTCCTAACTTCCAACTGAAACCAAGCATACCTTCAATTTCTCAATTGTAACCACCTTAATCAATATATCTGTAGGATTCTAAACAATATGTATCTTCTCCACGGATAATTGACCATCTTCTAGGAGAGAACACATAAAGTGATACATTCAGCTGAATGTGTTTCATTTTGACAAGAAAAACACATTCTTAACTAAATGAATAGCACTAATGTTGTCACTATGAAGTTTTGCAATCCCTTGTTCCTTGCCCAATTCTCTCATAAAACTTTGCAGCCAAATATTTTCTTGTTAGCCTCAATGATAGCAATGTACTCAGCTTTTGTAGTTGAAAGTGCAACAATTTTCTATAGCCTAGAGACTCAACTCAATGTTGTGTTCCCGAAAGTGAAGACATACTCTGTTGTGCATCATTTGACTTTAGATAATTCATGAAACCTTGCAAAGACACGCAGTAAAAATACTAGAATCTATCCACCAAGTGTGCATTTGTATCGAAGCTAAATCAACCTCAGAACAAACCAAAATGAGAAGTGGACCTTTCTTTATATGACATGCATGATATTTAATACAATATTTCTTAATATGACTGGACTTGTTAAGAAAAAAACAAGTCTAGTCATATTGTTTCTTTTGAACTGGATTATTGGCAGCTTCCTTATCCAATTTTCCTTTTCTTAAACTTATTAATTAAGGTATTTGCCAAGTATACGTTTTCAGCCTTCTCATGCTTCAATCTTTCTTCCTCTTGGCACACAGTAGAAATGAGCTCATTAAGAGACTATTTATCATTTTAGCAGTTATAACTTACCTTAAATTGATGGATTATGCAGGAAGTTATACCAAAACTAAATGTACAAGCAAATCATCAGATAGTTCTAATTTTAATATCTTCAGTTTTGAAGCAGGGTGGGACATCTTCATGATGCACTCCTTTATATTTTCTATTATGTTATACCTCATTGAAATCAAGTTTGCAAGAAGAGTACTTGTTTCAGCTTTATCATTTTAAGAAAGACGTTTTCCAATTTCCTCGAAGAATTCCTTGGCAGTAGTAATCTTTTCAGACACATCACCCCTAAAGGCTTCTGAAATACCACACTTGATGATCATCAGACTCATACGATTTGAATAATCCCACTTTTCAAAGTCCCTTTTATTATCAGTAGAATTCTTATCTATAAGAACTGCAGGTCGCTCAATACTAAGTGATTATAACTCTAATATTCTAATTTGTAAGTGGCACTCTTTAATACAGTAATCAAATACTGACAATTATACAAAATTCTATCTTTAGATTGGATTATTGTATGTATGTATGTATCTGTGTCTGTGTAAATTTCACTAATTTGACATCATAAACCTGACTCCGATATCACTTGTTAGAAAAAGAACTTTTAAATAAACCCGAAGAAAACCATATATCGAAGATGTCAAATTCACCAATATAGGTAAATAAATAAATGCGGAAGTGGAACTTGATCCATGAGAAGAATATTGGATTATGAATCTTCCAATCCAATATGATTTTCACTTTGGATCAATCTCTGTATTCTTCTGATGATGAAATGTAAGAGAAAATGGGAATAAGAATAATTTATTATCATCACATGGTTTGGAGGCCATGACCATATTTAAACGAAAGAATACATTTAAAAGAATAAGTCTTTTCAAAAAGATCGCATTTTATCGGAAATGATAAATCACATTTCTAATTTAGCCCATCATATAATTAAAAATAAGTAATTAGATCTCCAACCATAATTATTCCATACAATCTTTATACCAAAACACCTATTTCTTTAATCTTAATTAGATCATTTAAAAAAAGGTTAATTTTAAAATAGTATTTAATACACATTTAATTACATATGTAGGCTCACATATTTCATTATTTTTTCAACAAATATAATTATTCCAGAATTTTGTGTAAATTAGACCAATGGTACTACTCCAGAAGAAGAGGGGAAAAATATAAGATAAAGCTTGTTTCAATTATTAATGCTTAGGGTTTGTTTGGTTTCAAGGAATGGGGTGCAATGTAAATACATTTTTAAAAAGTTCATATTGGAGTTGAATTCCAATGCAATTGACGCAAAATTAGTGAGACATAACAAATAAGAATAGATGTATTTTTTTCTCATATTCCCTTTCCTATGAAATCCTTAAGAAAAATCGGAAGAAAATTTTAACACCCCATGGTGATTCACATGTCAAAACAAATACTCGAATTAAGCGCATCTTACTGAAAGCTCGAGGAAATAAAAAAAAACATACCGAAAGAAGACTTGAGGAAATAAAAAAAGAACATACCGAAAGAAGAATAGCAGTTTCCGCTCCCTGTTTATCTTTAAAAGTAACATATGCCACTTGAGACCATTGATCACCACTGTTAAAATTGTTATACACTCAGTGTTGTATTTAGGGTGTAAAATAAAAGAAACTATCAGCAATAGTAGAAGCATGCCTTCTCATTTCAACATATTCAATGTCACCGGAAAAGGAGAAGAATTCCTTTATGTCTTGCTCAGTCGCACCAAGTGAAACATTGCTGACGTTGACTGTCCTTCCCTATAAATCCAACTAAAACTTTTAGGATTTGATTCAAAATTTCCTCCAAACCAAAAATAAAAGAAAAAATAATTGTAAAAATAGGATTTCCACAAAGACATCTACTTTCATCCAATGCGAGCATTGCAATAAGTTTACCACAATTAATTAAGACTCCAGACAGTTAATATTAGGATTTGAAAATCAAATGAACAAAAAAAAAAGCCTCAATATGTAGCATAGCATTCTTGCCAATAAGACTAAAGCATGTTTCTTAATATTTCTATTAAGGTATTCTTTGAAGAACAGATAGATTGAAAATCAGCTCCACAAATTAAATTAAAAGCCATGGAAGGAAAAGCCGCATTAAGCTTGCAGAAGCAATATCGCAAAACAAAACTAAGATTTTAAATGCATTTTAACGGTATAGAAAAGCATAAAATAGGTAGAATGAAAGTGAAACATCATATAAATTTGGCAAATAAAAGAAAATGAATAAATAACAAACTGGTGGAGGAGATATAGCTGCGCTAGGATAAGATTTTAAATATGGTTTAGCATTAGAGAAGGCATACAATGTGAAAAATAAAAATTTAACAGCATATAAAATTGTCAAACATTAGACTAGACTAGCACAGTGAATATCACAGCATCATAAAGACAGGGTAAGAATATCTAACCACAAAATTCATGACACATCCCATCCTTACCAACGTAAGGTCAAAAAAAATCTAGGAATATAAAAGATTGGCACCAAATTTTTAAAATTAATGAATAGGTTCCATGTGTTTCTGAGCTTCGACAAAACAGTTCAAGGATTTATAACAAAAAAAAGGACTTATCCAAAATCATTAGTTCTATCCTTATTTGAATATATCAAAACCTACTGATTCATAAATTTTCAAAGAACCTAATATTGTAAATATACTGCTTGGTGAAAGGCTACACGAAATAAATGAATGGAACTAGTAGCAATTTCTCCATTTGGACCATGTGACTCACAATACAACTTCTGCCTATTTCATCATGCTACTAATCAAGAATATCTCAACAACAATTTCAAGATTGAATCCCTCACACCATTGCTCTGGTATGTCAAATTGATAATTTCCGGATTGCACAATGCTTTATACGGATCTTGAAGTTAAGAAACATGTGGTAATAGTTAAATAAATATAAGTTTACCTCTTGAGTTTTGGGTCAAAAAAACTAACAAATAGGCAGGTTTCATAAGAAATATAATATAAAATACAATAAGGCTTATCAAATTAGAACCAATCATTTAAGTCATAATGTGTGTGTGCATGTTGGGGTGGAGAGGGCCATTGACTTTTCAAAAGGACTAACATTTAAAGGAAAACCAGAACATTATGTCATATCATAGCAGTAGAATATAAATTATCTTCAATTTTTTTCTCTAGTCCTGCAAACTTCAAAACTTTTCCAAATAAACCATATGTGCTAGAAATTTATCATACATGGCAATGAAAGAAGAATCCTTGGATCTATCAAGAAAAAACATGTGATGTGATATACCATGCAGTCATTAAACTCACATCTGCACATTCAATAAGTTTCAATTTTACACTCATCCAATCACAATATATACTTTTGCTAGAATCATTACCTAAATCACCCAAAAAAAAAATTACAATAGCTTCCCTAACTCAACCATTAATCTAAGATGTTTGTGATTGACAGACTTTTTCTGAGTATGATATAGATTTTGGAAAGAATTATGAATTACCAGTGTTCGAGTTTGCTGTCGTGGCTGATCTTAAGTCAGAAATAATATCAAAAGTTAGGTTACAACTTATGTTTGATGAAGCACCTAAGCTTGAGAATGCTTTTTTTTATTATTTTATTTTTAATGTTGTTCAACATGAAGCAAATTTCCTGGAGATTCTATTCAGATTCCTACACCAATTCCCTCATCTTTATATTAAGACACACACACACTATCTTACGGTTTGTTTGGGCTCACTTTCATTTTTTGTTTTTTATTCTTATTTTTGCTTTTATTTTAAAAACATGTTTCTTTAATGCATTTTTTCATCCTTTTATTTTTTATTTTTAAAAATAATTAGGCATGTTATATCATATCAAACATGTATTATTTTAAACCAAAACATAAACAATGCAGAATAAAAACAAAAAGAAAAATCAAATGTGATCCCAAAGGGCCCCTTAGATTACCATAATTTCCTTAAGCTGCACCTGCAAAAGATTGAGTTTTTGTTGACATTCTCGCTACCATCTAGTCCATAATTAGTCCAATAGAAAAAAATCTCACAAATATATCAAGCAAAGAGTCACCAAGCAGCCACAGCTCCAAATCTCAATGTATTCGTTAAATTCTTGCTGCATTACGTGTTGCATGAGCGCCTCTTCTATTAGATGATCCGGTTATGTCACCACCTCTGCCTAAGCCACCTCATGTAAACTCTTCAGGAATATTTCTTTGCTAGTTTCATGAATTGATGCGGGATAATTCAACTAGTTTACTCCATAAAGACCACATTTTTCATAAGCAAATAAAAAGAAGATGAGCCAAGCTACAAAAGAGTTGAATCAATAGTTTCAAGGTCTGTTTCGCCAATCTTTACTTTTTGATCAAACTTCACTGTTTTTTTTTTTCCATTAAATTCAGTTATCAGGTTCAATCATCCTCTTCGGATGGTTTTATGTTTGAATTTGAATGGTTGCTACGAAATGATTTGATTTTGAATGGGATTCTATTTGATTTCAAAATTTTAGGTTTGTTTAACAAATAATGAAGAAAATAGCAACTATGTAATGCCGAACCAGTGCTCTCTAGATCAAACTTATGTGAGTAAGTTTTCTTTCTCCCCCCTCAATCAATTTTTATATCAGATCCAGGTTCGATCAAGTATCACATCTTTCTTCGATCAACGCGGTCAATCAATGCCAATAATGATTCCTTATTTCGTGAAGCCGCAAAAGTACAAATCCATTCCATCCATAAATTTGTAATCAAACCTCTCCATCAATCCCAGCAATCACGCATATCCATAACTTATTATATTTGAATATTTAAATACACGAACAATAAACAATCAATTTCACACTTAAAACGAACAACTAACGTAATTAAAAGCCCGGAAGCTTATCTCTTGAAAGGTAGCAATACTCCGAATTAGCGAATTAAAGCATAATCTCACAAATAGTTCCACATCGATTACACCGAAAAGCAGTATTTAAGTCCTACCCACCTCTTTAAAGTACTCTTTTGGGAGGTAACAATAAGCTCTGTTACCAGGCCGAATTAAAGCATAATCTCACAGATAAATAGTTCCACATCGACTACACCCAAAAGCAGTATTTAAGTCCAACCCACCTCTCTAAAGGGCTCTTTTGGGAGGTAACAATAAGCTCTGTTACCAGGCCTCACAAGACTGTCCACAAGGTAAAGTCTCTGCATAGTTTCTCCCACACTCCACAACCAGACCGAAACGAGTCAAAGAAATCATCAGCTACCTTATATAACAAGAAAAGCTCCCATCAAAACAAGCCCGTACAAATCTCCACTAAGAAATCTTCCTCTAACTTTCTCTGGCTAGTTAATAAAAATAATTAACGCCTACAAACAATCAATTATCCAAGCATAAATCGAATAGATCACCGTGAACCCCCAACAGTTCCAAATCGAAAATTCACGAAACGAAGAAAACAAGCGCAGCTGCAAACGACACCAAAAATCTAGCCACATCCATAATTCAATCCAACTTTCAACGACGAAAGAAAATAGCAAAATAAGTTCCAAAGATCCAATCGGACAAAGAATTCTCACCGCCGTCATGACAGTAACTCAGAAACCTTGAGCGCAAAGGCAAAAATGGAGATTCTAGCTTGAGGCAGAAACTTCTTCGAGGATGAGAGAGAGAGAGAAGAGAGTTTACGAATGGTGCATCGGAGTAGAAATCGTGGGCGAAGGCGAAGGTGAGAAAAGAGAGGTAGAGAGAGAAAGCTCTCTGGGGGTTCGTGTCGCGGGAGCCACTCGCTCTCCCTGCCGTTGGATCACCGAACCGTATCAATGACGTGGTAGCGTGTTGAGACACGATCTGGAGAGTCTGTCCGTACGCATAAAAAATATGGTGCGGAAGTTGTCAATGGCATTAAAACGTTCGTTGCCGTCAGATTTGCTATATGATTCGTGCTAAAGTGATCTTGCTTTCATCCCTTCTTCGAAGTCCTGTCAAGTTTACGAACTAATGGCTGAATGCAGTTTTATTTTAGCTTTAAGTTGTTATTTTAGAGAGTTAAATTTTTTAAAGGAAGATGATATATATATATATATATTCATAATGCACTTTGAAATTTTTTTAAAATTATTATTTAAAGATTGATTGCGTCTTTGACTATTAATAGCTCGTTGAATGTCTATTTAATTATTGTTTTTAAATTTACTTAAGTATCCCAAGCAGTGGGTGCTAATCAGCTTTGTTCTTAAAAATCTTTAAAAGTAATATGAAAACTAGTTCTGTTTAGGGCGGCTGCAGCTGCGCTGTGCCAGAAGGCTACTGCGGAAAAATTGATTGTCTAACTGGTGCAGTTGTTTGAAAATAATTATTAAACAAAAATCAGTTTCAAAGAATGCTGCAACAGCCACATTTTTTAAACTCCATAAGCAAATTTATTGTGTAAGAAATTATTGAAACTTAAAAGTGTTAAATATATAACAAATTTAAGGGTTGGGCAATTAATTAATTATTGTTATGTAATTAATTTAAATCTTAGATATGTATATATATGGAATTGATTAATATATGTTAAAAGTTTAGCAGTTAGATGGATAATTATATGAATATCAAACTTTTAAGTTCAAACACCTACACTTTAATTCTTCATTTACACCACTCAAATATTTCATATCACATTGAAAATACTCCCATTTAAAAATTTTAGAACTGTTGAGCAAATATGAGGAGATCTAATAACTCTAAGAAATTTAATTATTTAAATTAAATAATTATTAAATCAGTCTTCAAAAGCTCGACCTAAATATTCACGGTAGGGCTTCAAAATGACTCGTTGTTATCGAAAAGTTCATTATCGATTCGCTAAGAAACACGTGTTTTATTTATTTGCTAAGCAAACAAGGTGAACACAAATACTTTTTTTCACTCGGTATATAAACGAGCCGAACACGAATAAAAATTTGTTGTTCATGTTTGACTCATTTTGACTCTAAATATTAAAATTAAATTATATATATATATATATATATAATTAATGAGTACTTTTTTTAAAATAATTTAATTATCTACCATATTACAAAGATTTATAATTAATTTAAATCATTAATTAAAAAATAGTCTAAAATATATTAATATATATTTAAATTATTTTTTGAATATAAATAGAAAGATTTAAATATAAAATGATTATTTGTTCGCAAATAACTCATGTTTTTCCGTTTTAATAAAAGAATCAAAGAAAAATAAATTTTCTATACTCTAAATAAAAATAAGCCGAACTGGGCCCATAGTATTTTTTTAGAAAATTGTTTGGCTAATTTACAAGCTAAAATTGGTCGAGGGTGCATTTGGGAGGGTGTTTTTGCTGCGATGGCATTTTGAAAACGTTATCTCACGTTTGAAAAACACGTGTCGGATACGTTTTACAAAACGGAGTTTCAATTTTACTATTACACGCGATTCTCGGGGTCCTACCCGCAATTTGCGTTTAATTGTTTAGAAAGACTCTCGCTACCACTCGTCTCGTCGCTCATCTGCCCTAATTTCACAAGCAGCTCTCGTGCCCCTCGTCGCTTCTCTGCCCTAATTTTGGAAGCAGCTCTCATTCGTATCTCCTTCGTAGAACCCTAATAGAGTCTTTGAAGGTATGTTTGTGAGAATGCTACTTTTGTTCCATTTCTTTGGATTTATGCGATTGTCTTCCTGAGAATGCTAATTGAGTCCTGATTTCCTTCATCTTCTTTGGTTATTTCTTTGTCCTAATTTATATATTAAGTCATTCTGCACTTCTTTGCGAATGGATCTGATGTTATTTCTTTGTTACGGTTTCATCTTCCTCGCTGAAGTAGCACGATGGTTTGGAATTTTTTTTATCAAGCAGACTATTACTAATGAATCTGATGTTTCTGGTTATGGATATGATGTTATTTCTGGTCATGGATCTGATATTTGATACTTGTATTATGCAATACCTGTGCTTGTTTGCATTGATACTATTATTTGAAGGTGTTTTGGACTTCCTACAGTGATATTATTTGATCATTATGAGGTATGAAAGGAAAATATTGGGTCAAAATTGGAGGCATTGCTTTTAGAAGCTAAACTAGAGTAAAAGTTCAAATTCTTGAATAAAGCTCGAATGTACATTTACAACACAAGGGCATTTAGCTTGGTAGTATGATGGATGATAAATTGATGAGGCAAAACCTTAAATTGTTTGATTGTGTTTGGCTTATTAATAACTACCTTATGTTGCGCTTGACCTTTCCTAAAGCAAACATGACTGCATAAGGAAATTGTTGTATTTGAGAATGAAAGCTTCTTAAATGTGATTAGGAGTTAAGATGCAATTGCATAACTTCAAATGCAATATCAATTTTGTGGCCAAATTTAACATGTAATGCAGGGGATATTTCTGGATCTTCCGTTTAGACTATTTTCTGAGTCGTTATTAGACTATTGTCAAATCAAACATTGTTAGCATTTTTTTAAATTATTTATTTTTAAAAATATTTGTACTTCATTTTGGAAGACATGCATCACATGATTTTCTTTTTTATCCAAGGCAATGTTTTTTTTTTTCAACTACTGTTTTATTATACTATCAATATGAGCGCATTATTTGATACATTTTTTTAGTAGTCCCATTATGTCTAAAAACAAAGAAGGAGCTACATCAGCAATGTGGGATAAGGAAGTTACCAACATTTTATGCAATCTATGTATTAAAGAGATTGAACTTGAAAATAGACCGACAATCTACTTTAACAAAGAAGGGTGGCAGAATTCCAATTAGTTTATAGAATTGATAGGACGAGCTTATGATAGATTGAAATTCAATAGCAAGTGGGATCAACTAAAGAAATATTAGAAGTTATGGAAAGAACTTAAACGGGGATCGATGGGACTGGGTTCGGATCCTGTCAAGCGTACCGTAGACGCTTTAGAGGAATGGTGGACTGAAAAATTAGAGGTAATAATTGTTTTTGACTCTAAATAATAAAATTATATTATATATAGATATAATTAATGAGTCTTTTTTTTAAATAATTTAATTATTTACAAGATTACAATGATTTATAATTAATTTAAATTATTAATTAAAAATAGTATAAAATATATTAATATATATTTAAATTATTTTTGAATATAAATAAAAAGATTTAAATATAAAATGATTATTTGTTCGCAAATGACTCATGCTTTGCCGTTTAAATAAAAAAAATCAAATAAAAACAAAATTTCTATACTCTAAATAAAAATAAGCCGAACAGGGCCCATAGTATTATTTTAGAAAATTGTTCAGCTAATTTACAAGCTAAAATTGGTCGAGGGTGCATTTGGGAGGTTGTTTTTGCTGCGGTGGCGTTTTGAAAACGCTATCTCGCGTTTGAAAAACACGTGTCGGATACGCTTTACAAAATGGAGTTTCAATTTTACCATTACACGCGAAACCCGCAATCTGCGTTTCATTATTTAGAAAGACTCTCGCTACCACTCGTCTCGTCACTCATCTGCCCTAATTTCACAAGCAGCTCTTGCGCCCCTCGTTGCTTCTTTGCCCTAATTTTGTTAGCAGCTCTCGTTCGTATCTCCTTCGTAGAACCCTAATAGAGTCTATGAAGGTATGTTTGTGAGAATGCTATTTTTGCTCTGTTTCTTTGGATTTCTGCGATTATCTTCCTGAGAATGCTAATCGAGTCCTGCTTTCCTTCATCTTCCTCGGTTATTTCTTTGTCTTGATTTATATATTAAGTCATTCTGCACTTCTCTGCGAATGAATCTGATGTTATTTCTTTGTTCACGGTTTCATCTTCCTCGTTGAAGTAGCACAATGGCTTGGAATTTTTTTTTTTATCAAGCGGAATATTACTGATGAATCTGATGTTTCTGGTTATGGATTTGATGTTTGATACTTATATTGTGCAATACCTGTGCTTATTTGCGTTGATACTATTATTTGGAGGTGTTTTGGACTTCCTACAGTGATATTCTTTGATCATTATGAGGTATGGAAGGAAAATATTGAGTCAAAATTGGAGGCATTGCTTTTAGAAGCTAAACTAGAGTAATAGTTCAAATTCTTGAATAAAGGCCGAATGCACATTTACAACACGAGGGCATTTAGCTTGGTAGTGTGATGGATGATAAATTGACGAGGCAAAGCCTTAAATTGTTTGATTGTGTTTGGCTTATCTTATGTTGTGCTTGACCTTTCCTAAAGCAAACATGACTACACAAAGGAAATTGTTGGGTTTGAGAAAGAAAGCTTCTTAAATGTGATTAGGAGTTATTTTTTATTTATAATTTAAAGGATTCTCGAGATGCAGTTGAATAGCTTCAAATGCAATATCAATTTTGTGGCCAAATTTAACATGTAATGCAAATAATATTTCTGGATCTTCAGTTTGGACTGTTTGTTTGGACAATTTTCTAAGTCGACATTGGACTATTGTCAAATCAAATATTGCTGGCATTCTCTCAAATAATTTATTTTTAAAAATATTTGTACTTCATTTTGGAAGACATACATCACATGATTTTCTTTTTTATCCAAGGCAATGTTTTTTTTTCAACTGTTGTTTTATTATACTATCAATACGAGCACATTATTTGATCCATATTTTTTAGTAGTCCCATTATGTCTAAAAACAAATAAGGAGCTACATCAGCAATGTGGGATAAGGAAGTTACCAACATTTTATGCAATCTATGTATTAAAGAGATTGAACTTGAAAATAGACCGACAATCTACTTTAACAAAGAAGGGTGGCAGAATTCCAATTAGTTTATAGAATTGATAGGACGAGCTTATGATAGATTGAAATTCAATAGCAAGTGGGATCAACTAAAGAAATATTAGAAGTTATGGAAAGAACTTAAACGGGGATCGATGGGACTGGGTTCGGATCCTGTCAAGCGTACCGTAGACGCTTCAGAGGAATGGTAGACTGAAAAATTAGAGATAATAATTGTACTCCTGCAAACTCTTTTGTTAATTTACATTTATACTTATATTTCACCTAATATGCTCCTATCCCTCCCTCCTTGTCGCGGGCAGTACCTAATTCAAAGAAATTTAAGTTGTGCGGAATTTAATCGGACTTGGAAGACAAATTGGATGTTATTTTCAAAGGGGTTGTCACTACGGGTCAGCAAACGTTCAACCGAAGCCAGCAGAGTTTTGTTGGCATCTCAGCTAAGGTGATCCTCGATCAGGTTATCGGTTTAGGTGAAGGCCCTGGCATAAACCCTAGAGAGCTTGAGTCAACTGGCCAATCAATTGAGGCGTAAGATGGAAAAAAAAAAGAGGCGTAAGATGAAAAAAAAAGAAAAAAAATAAAGATGTTTTCATGTAGAGCTCAATTGATAGACTGATAATTGTATTTGAAGCATCGTTATCAATTGAACCTATGGTGGATGATCCCACTATTGATGGTTTTATGAATTTTTTAAATGAAATTCCTGAAGTTTTTGTTGATCCTATATTCTATTTAAAATGTGTCAAGATTCTTGAGCACCGAACCCGCAGACAGATTTTCAAGAGGCTCCACCCTGAGCCGCATCTTGATTATTTGCGTCTCTCAATTGATAAATGAATATTTAATATTTCTATTTCAAGTAATTTGTTATAAGCATGTCTTTTGTAGATACATGGTATAAATTTTGTTCTCTTTTATCCAGAGGGGATAATGAATCTGGAATTTTGATGCATGTTGTAAATGCTCCATCATTTGAATAAGTATTTTAATTAGCAAAGTCTTTTGTAGAAGAATTTAACACCTAAGTTAAATTATACATATGAACCTGGAATTTCGGTGCATGTATCAGAGTTGGTATTGGACATCCTATATGCTTCATCATTTTCGAATGCATCTTGAATTTTATGTTAGATGGAGCCTATTTATCAAGGTTGCATTTTAGTATGTTGCTCTGTATGTGATGAGATAAAGCCTATTTTTTTCTTGGAAAAATGTGTTTCACTGTAGCATGTTAGTGAATATTCTACTGAGGATCCAATTTTAGTATTAACTGTTGCATTTTAAGTTGTGTAAATACATATAAATTGCAACATGTATCGTTAATAGGCGTTGGTTTGGGTGTAACTATGTGGCTTCAACATTATACGAATATTGAATGTGGCTTTAGCATTATAGCAAGTTCTTTATCTTTAGGCAGGTTATCTTACATCTCTGTTCCTCTACATTATTTAATTCATTTTATCATAATTCTTGCAGTCTTGGGAGAATTTTGGTGCAGAGAAATGCTTCAAATCTGTGGAGAATGAGTATTCTTCTTTTGCAGTTCCTAAAATTCCTACTTTATTTGTTGAAACTACGAATTTGAAACTGTTAATGAAATTTGCGGAGAATGTTTTCATTTGTTGTTCATATGCTACCCACGCTTGGAAAGTATACATTTTTCTGCTTCACAAAACATTTGGATCTATTGATTCTTGTAATTGTTTGTTTCCTTGATGAACTTTCTCGCAATATGGCTCATAATGGTGCTTCATTTTGTTGCTTGAGATGTAAAAAAAATTATTGCATTTTTTGTCATCTTGATCAATATGATCCGATTGGATGAAACTTTATTCAACGTGCCGATAACCTGCCTAAAGTATTACTCAATTTTGATAGTTTGAGTTACCTCAACAAGGGCCATTTCTTACTTGTGTTTTATCACTACATTGAATATATAGAGAGTTTGAATTCGATTGTTTAGCATATATTATGGTTTTATCCCCAATTTTGTAGGCATAGAGCTATTAAATGCCTGCAAAAACCCAAATAAACCCAATAAGCTATACATATTATAACAAGCTAGCTGATCTCTGTATCTGGATATCTACTCAAAGATAGGCAGCCTCCTGTAAGGGTTAACTGAAGTTTGTGTAGCAGCTTGGAAGGCTAATGAGATTTGTTGTTTGAAACCGTTGCTCCCAAATTTTAGTTATTGAGTATATTGTATTAGCTTTTCAATGTTATATGTTGGTTAGTTATGCTAATAAATCAAAATGATTGCAGCTTGGATGGCCCTCCTTATGGGCAACCAGTGCTATGTGATATGAATGGTAGTATTTTTTTTTTAAGAGAATGGTTGTGGCTTCATATATTCTTATGTTGAGGCTTTCGAATTTCAGTTAAAAGTTAAAATGATGGCATGTTATACGTGATAAGAAAGACTTTGGTGGTATCAATGTAAACAAAAAGGTCTATGTCTTAGATATGCAAATACATAGGAATTGGGTGGTATGTATGCAAATGCACCACTTTATTTTCATCTACTAATTCAGTGGCTTAATATCATTACAGGTGCGTCACAAATACTAATAGTGCTACTTTCTTTGGAAAATTTACATGCTTTTAGTATTCTTCTTTTAGCCTCATATAGACGCCTTCTTTCTTTAACGGCCTAATTTTTTTTAGATGAATTTTGGGTTCCGATGGGAATTCTCCATTGTCGTGGTAGCATTGCGGGGTCTCTAATTGCTTGACCATTGTTGTGGTAGCATTGAGGGGTCTCTATGGGGGACAAAATTTTTCCAAACAGATAGCCAATCATGCTCGAAGATTCTTCATTCCTGGTTTTGATAGAAAATAATAATTAGTGGGGAATAAAAAAAGCACTAAAAATTTACCAAGATCATATTGATGGGATTATATCCACCTCATAAATGAGTGCCTTCTCATCTTCTGTCAAAGGAAAGGATTTCATGCGCCTGGCTGCCTACAAAAGTGCAACAGAGATAAATCACACAGTGAAAGCAAAATTTTAAATTGTAACAAAAGCATGAAAGAATGAAAAAAAAAACTTTTTTTTAAGCTATTTGGGGATTGGAATTCAGATGATCAATGAAACTGGAAATTCAATTTATAGGCAACTTGGATGACCCATGTCTATTAGGGCAACCGTTGCTAATAAGTTTATTTTCCTTATTTCATTTATTTTTTGACTGATTTATTATATTTTTAAAAATTGCGGGACTATGAGTTACAAATATTGAGGGATGTTCGGTCAAGTGATATGCTGGTGCGGACTACCGTTCTTGCTACTCACGTCACGCCAGCCAAATAGCTACGAGAGATAATTTTACAGGTTCCCGCGACGGGCACAAAGACAGGATGACTGCACTTTTTTTAAGTGAGCCGACAGTATGTCGGTTTCTATGACATCTCAATTGGACACCACTGCTCAGAGTTTCTCAGTATCACGATTTCAGAACACAGTTTCTGGTTCGAGTGCTTCATTTGTACAGTATCCCAATCGAACGAGTTTGCTTAGGGTTCTGGAGTGTCAGAGCCGGACAACATGGGATGTGATATGTTGCTATATTTTAAAGCCAACATTATAAAATTTTTTCCTAATTATTTTAACATGTTATTTTTTCTTCATTTTTGGGTCTCATTATAGTACATATTAGAGTGTTAAGGTGTATTTCATTTTCTTTTAGGTGACTGTACTTATGTGATGTGATCTGAAATATTTAAGTGATAAATATTTATATTTTTATCTCTTAACATTTGAACTTTAATTTTAAAAATATTTTATATTTTCATGTTCTACAATATTCACATTTATCTCCACTTTATGATTATATTAAAAAGTTTTGTAAGTTTGTAAAAAAATATGCAAATCTGCTGTTTACAAAACGCAAAAACAAAAAAAACTGCAGCTTATCTAGAACATTGGCAGTCTGGTTATTTATTTAGAATCAGTTGTTTTCAAAAGACACAAATTAAACAGACAGACAGACAGTTTATTCAGACCCATTTTTTATCACCGAATGCCAAATACCATGAAATACAAAATAAATATATTATTATAAAACGATATATTCTCCATCAACGAATTCACTTGTTATCTTCGGCCCCTTCCCGTAATCCGAAAGCTCGAATTCTTCCCTCCAAGTTGATTAGGGTTCTCATTTTTCTCTTAGTCTCCTCCGAAACCAATTTCTCTACTAATGATCCTAGTAACTGCTCCGAGCGGATCCGTGCTTTTCAGAACTACACTGAATACTCATCGTAGATGCCACCGTTGTTCTTCGCGCAGAAAGTCATTCGGTCTTCGGATTTTTGGTTTTGTGTCCAAAAGTTTAATGCATCGGATGTCAGAGATTCATGCTCTAAAGGCGTCGTTGATCACCAATCCCGATGATTTCGCCGTGGGAAAATACGTTGGAGAGTACGGGTTCATGAACGTTACCAGGTTTGCTATTTTGTCTTCTTTCCTTTTCTTATTCGCCCATTTTCTTGCATTTTGAACTGATTTATCTCGTTAAGTTGCAGATTTTGAGAAATTGGCTGGATGCTTCCTTTGTTACTTGCTGTTCACTTCTGTTTTTTCAAGTATTAAAAGTAACATTGAAATGCTGCAGTTATTCATCTTTTCAACCTGGAGGGCCTTCTGATGCTAGAAACATTGAAGTTCCAGGTGTTGGATATTCTTCGGAAGACATTGAGCGTTTAAGAATCCAAGATGTTGGAGAAGGCAAAGTGAAAATTAGGTGCTTTTTCTCTTCCTGCATTGCAATAATCGTTATATGTTTACTCTTTCATCATGGTGCTTCTACATTCCCCAAAAAACAATTTTGTAATACTGCATTTGGGGCCCAATTCCTTTGGTAGACCAATCAAAATGGGGGGTGACATTATAGTTTTATTTTGAATGAGTTTTTCTTGTTCCACCTATTAAAAAGTAGATGTATCTCAGTTTAATGTAGCCTTTTTTTCTAAGGAGTGTATCATTATTCTTTCTATATCATAATTTACCGTTTTCCCTTATTAAACTATATTGATAATATCTAAACATCTTATTTTAGGCTTTACGAGGGAAGAGTTGTTCAAGGTCCATTAAAGGGAGTCCGAGTGATTTTTAAGGTACAAATCTATGCCTATAACTCTAGCGATATTCATATAAAGCATTGAATTTTTACTTGAAACAGGGTATATTGGTTAAGTGCCCTGGCAATATCTTTTTTTTTCTGTTCATTAAAAGAAAATGACTTTAATATGGTTGTTTTTGTTGTGCATTAGAGTATTTGTGTGAGAAGGCATCCACCTATGAGTTTTATTCTCCAAATAATTTGAAATTTTCGTGCAAATGCAACGGCATGTTGTACAAACCATGTTTTTTAGATGTGTCACATTCATTGAAGATTCGAATAGCCCCTCATCTTCTTTGTAATTGCAATTCTTTGTGTTTGTTTCATACCTTGTATGAATATAAATACAGTTCTTAAAAGCTGATTTATTGATGAAGGTAGGTGAAATTAAGTGCATGTAAGCATTGTAATATTGCAGCTGGGCAGTTATAGAAAATTATCCAACAAGATAAATAGACATTCTATGAATGCTGCGATTTTCACTAAAAAAAAAAAGAAGAAGATAAAGAAAAAAAGAAAAAAAAAAAAGAGAACTTTTGAAGAAGTTATTTGTCTGTAAGATTGCTCTCGAAGCTTCACAGCTCTGCCTCATTTCCTGAAAAGACTTATGAAGGTTTATCCTGGACGACGTGCTGGTGGCATTGAAGCAGATATGATGGCTGCTAATGAGCTGAAATGTCATTCTTTCCTTCAAGTAAGGAAACCACTAAGTGAATATTTATATATTATTCCAATTTTTTTTTCTATGATTAGCCGATATGGCATGCCAAGTGTAGCTTTCATGAGCTAATTCAATTGGAATGCATCTTGCAGGAAGATTCAAAATTTATATGTGAAAACATCCAGATTTTATTAGGAGGTTTCGAGACTAGAACTGGAGAGCAGGTTTGATATATACTATTGAGAAGAAATCGGTTGACGGGGTCTCACTAAATAAGAATTTAAAAAACAAATGTTTCATTTGCCAGTGGCTTGCCTTTCGTAATGATGGGATATATAGTGCAGCAGACTATGCCAAAGTTACTAGCGAAGCAATTTCAAAGGATGTTGCTAATACTAAAGAGACTATCTGGTCTTCTTTCAACGGGGAAGGGAAATTTAAGCGTAGAAGGTTTTTTGTTACCAAATTGCTTTACGGAGCTATCAATGGGTTGGCCTTTATGCATGATCATGATAGGCTACACCAGAGCATCGGCCCTGCTTCTGTTGTGCTCAAGTAATACTGAAAGATGTGCCGCAAAGCTTCATTTTAATTACAATGCAGAGCAGATGATAGACTATTTTGCTATTTGCAGTACAATATCAGAAGGAGAGGCAACATATTTAGTGCCCCGTCTCCGTGATTTAGCCTTTTCAGTTAACATCAGGTTTGTTTATTTACTACATTCCATCCTCTGAAAATTCTTTTATGGGAGTTAGAGCTTCTTAATGCACACTCAAAATCAAAGCCTCGAATAGATTGGCTTGATGCAACTGTCTAAATCTATTACCTTAAATGGCCTATTAGAATGTAGAAGAATGATCCAATTGAATCCAATTCATCATTATTGTGTTGCAAATGTGGTGCCTTTACGCCGGATCATTAATGTTTATAGGAAATTCCTGTTTTTTTATTGTTTTTTGTGAAAAATGAATTATTGATTTGTGGGTGTGAATTTTTCAAAGCCATCTTTTTGATGAAATACATCATCGTGATAGTCAACGGTAGTCTTATTGCAACTATTGGGTTGGATTTATTGATGATATAATGCAAGTTGCTATAATTGCGAGAGACTAACTTTGCTACCAGTGATTATAGTGGTGGAGGACTAAATCATGTTCTTTTCCCATTTTTTCTCAGTAATTTATGAGTACAATCAATATGGATTTAATTAGATGATGGCCTACCCTGCCCAAATTCATCTGATAATTATTTTATTTATTTTTTTCCTCCAAAGCTATATTCTTTTCCTACTTTATCTATCTAGTCTACATAAGTTTGCAAGGAATGAATACTTGCTTGACATGGTTGCTTTTTGTTAAGTAATGCTAATGTCTCCTTGTCATATATTACACATTGTCAATTATCCAGTCTCGTTAATGCTGGCAATACTGGCTGTTAGTGTAATTGAAAGCAATTTGATTGATTTACTTTAATACTAGTGCCTATGTATTGAAAACAATAAAAGATAGAATAGAAAAAAAATGATTAATAATGAATTTTCAAATAAGGGAGTATATCACACAATGGAAATATAATATTTACTTATCACTCCCGCTCATACACGCCACCCACTTGCCGACCCCGACCCCAACCATCCAGTGTGGGTCCAGTCACCCACACACCTATTTTATGAAGATTGTCAACTTACTGCAAAGATTGTAGAAACTAAGTGGTTCCAAAGCCTTCATGAAACTAGCTGCCAACTAGGGCTGTCATTCTTCATCAGGCACAGGAGTTATGATCATTTGGTATTATTGCATCTTTGCTTGTATGACCATTTAGTTCAATAATTTCTGTTTTGCCTTGAAAAATAGACTTGCTAGTAGTATGGATTGCTTCATGATTATCACATTTAAATACCATGAGCTATGCAAAATAAAAACCAAAATTTTCAATAAAATTTTTTATCCACATCATTCCATTAACAACGTCCATGATAGGCTTGTTTTTACTTATCATGTGATCTAGTTACAACAATTTATTTATTTATTCTCCATGAAGCAAGCTTTCCTCCCACAAGTAATACAATATTTCAAAATAAACTTTTGGTCTTCAGTAATATCCAACATAGTCAATGTTAGAGCAAGCTTCAATTTTTAAATGGTATTGTTTCTGACATTTTATTATGTTTTAAAATCCTTTAGAAAACATGCAATTCTTCATCTTTGCATATAACATATGCTTACTTACCATTCCGAGAAGAAAAGAAATATTAGGTTGAGTGAAAATCAGTCGGATAAGCTTACCAATCCAACAAAGTAATGGACAATATATTTGATGTTTTTCTCATAATTAGCTGCATGTAAAGTATTCATAGGAGAGTTAGGTCTTTTTTCTTAGTGTCGGTTAACTTTTTGATTTTATTTTTTGAAAATTGAAAATAATTTTGAAATTTAATTTAATATAAAATTTATGTAGTTTGAGTTTTGAAAGTAGTATGTTTTAATTTAAAAAAAAAAGAGACCAAATGGATTTCATAGGAGATTTGTCTCTATAGGAAACTTTGAGATTTAATTAACTACGCGAATACTACACATTCCCGAAAGATAAGTGTATACCTCGGTGATGGACCCAATTTTTCAAACTAAGAGTTTTGTGACATCCGTTTGGCCTGCGAATATTTTATGTGTGACCAACAAGTTTTCCTATTTAATATAAAAATTAAATGGAGTTTATTTTATCAGAGTTCCAAGTTTCCTATAGAGACAAATCTCTATAGTTAATTAAATCTCAAATGACGGGGGTCACTTGAAAAAACTCTCGATAATGATTAGATGTACTAGTATTCAAGAATTCAAATTAAAAGTTTTCACGGTAAGACATGGAAAAACAAGTGAGAGTGACTCAAATAAGAACAATTATTTTCAGGAGTCCAAAGAAAGGGTAGGAGTCCAAAGGAAGGAAAATGTATGAGGCGTCACAGATCCTGAGGTTAACCCTTAGCAATTTCCCAAACTATCCTATTTTGTGGTTGAGTTTTGAAGATGATGCTATTCAAGTGTTCAATTCTGTCAATTTTATTATTTGAGACTTATATTTGCATAATATACGACTATACAAATTGTCCGCAGAGATATGAGGGTTTACGTCGTACCACACGATAAAATTGGAACCTAAGACGAGTTAGAACTTATGCTGCACAACATGATCGTGCATGAAAGGGTGAAGATTTACGTCGCGCTGAACGAGCTACCTCGAATTCCTATGAATTGTTATTTGGACTAAGGAAAGAGATTGTTGAAGAATATTCTCTTGTTGCCCGATCCAAACTCCTTGCCGTGCTGCCCATAAAGTTGACTCTAAACTCCTCGTCGAGGTAGCAGATCTAAAGTCTAAGGTTCAAAAGTTTTTACCAGGTGTGTTTTAAAGTTTTGGTTTTATTGTCATTCAAGCATTATGAGGGGGATTAAAATTGATTAGAGCGACATCGGTTAGGCTCTCACGGTTCCCTTGTTCCAGTACCACTATTTTCTTTTCAATTTATTTAGTTTAAACAAGTTGTTAAACTCATTTAAACTGAGGAGATTTCGTTAGCAATCGCGTGTTACTTCATCCGAGGGACTCCCGTAAATTCAACATGAAGTGTTTTGTTTTAAAAATGTTATTTAATTTTTGAAAAAAAAATTATTTTGTTTTGAAAATGTTATTGAATTTTTGAAAAACTGTTTTGTTTTAAAAATGTTGAATTTTTGAAAAAACTGTGTTGTTTTGAAAATATTGTTGAATTTGAAAAATGATTTTTGAAGAGATTTCTTCGGCGCAAAGTTTGTTGTCGTCCCTTTCGTCTGTTGTTGGAGTAGCTCCACGATCATTTAATGGTTCGTCCACGTCCAAATTTACCTCGCAAAGTCATACCGAGAAGTTGGTATGAGAATTATATTGTGTGTAAATTTGGTTATCTGAATGCCTAGGCACGTAAGCAAGTGGGAGTTCAATTGTATGAAAGTTTAACTATCTAAACACATACGACTCCAATCTTTTTTAAGCAAATCTAAAAAAAGCTAGGCATGTAAACAAATAAATCTGAAATATATGCATATGAAAACATAATAATTCATTTGTATAAAAGAAAACCTGAAAGCTTGGACATGTAAACACTCAAAATCTGCAATCTAGACATTTAAATACATAAGAATTCATCTGCATGTAAATCCCCCTCCTCTTGCTCAAAGAAAGAAGTTTAAATGATTATACCATTGTGAACTATAAGAAATCATATAGCAGTATTTGGTTGAGTCTGAGCTCTGAAACTTTAATGGCTCTCTTTATTTTGGCTTGCTGAAGCTGAGCTTTGGAACTTTAATGATTTTCTTTATTTTGGCTTGCTGAAACTATACTTTAAAACTTTGGAATTTAGAGGTGTTTTTGCTTTAATTTGCTGGTTCACTCATCAAGTAAGTGACAGGGTTTAAAATTGCTCGATTTTAGGGTGATTTGCTGGTGATTTTTGATTGATATTAATATATAGACTTCGATGTTTTGATTGTCTGTGGGATCGTGATAAATATACTAGACTTCTTATTTAGTATATTTACTAGACTTCTATCGTGCAATATACAATCCCACAAACAATCGTACTAAATCCTAAAAGATACCAGACTTCTACGATCCCACTTCTATCGTGGGTCGTAAATATACTAGACTTCTATCGTGCAATATAAAATCGTACTAAATCCTAAAAGATAATGTGTGGATTTACATAATACCAGACAAACAACTGTGTCCTATGAGTGTATGTTATTTAAGTCTATGGAAGTTCAGCTGAAGCTCCTGCTTCTGTTGTTATCTCGACTGATGTCTGGAGATGAATCATCACTTGACTGCGTCGTTGTCTCGTTCCTAGAAAAGAGGAGAGAGGAGATAAACCATTTTATTATTAGTTTATTGGGGTTTAAAAATATTGTTTGTGGTTTTGAAAATGTTTTATTATGGAATTTTGAAATGTGTTGAAATGAAAAAGTGTTGTTTTGGTTATGTTTTACTATTGTAAAGTATTGTATAAAGGTATTGTATAAACATAAAAGCATGAGTGCGAGTGAATATGTATAGTATATTACAGTAGGAGAATATAAAAAGAAGCTATATGGTAAAGTACAATAAAGAAAGAAAGAAAAGTCTGTGCAATAAAGTACAACAAAGAAAGAAAAGACTATGCACTAAAGCAAAGAAAAAAAAGGCTAAGACATTAAAGTACAGTAAAGACAGAGAAGATAGACACGTATCTGTTGATTCTGTTAATTGTTTCAAAACAAATTATAATTACATAGTACAAATAAATATATAAAGAAAAGAAGCTAGATAAGTATTTGTAATTTATATATAAAAGACTTGAGTATGTATATTTTTTTTTATAAAAGTTAAGTTATAATCATATGAAAAATCAAAATGTGGTATAAAAATCTAAATTAGGGATGAACACAGACTAGACTTTTTATTTATCACAATCCCACAGACAACCAAAACATCGAAGTTTATGTATCAATATCAATCAAAAGTCACCAGCAAATCACCCTAGAATCGTGTCATTCTAATCCCTGTCACTTAATTGATGAGTGAATCTGTAAGTAGTATCTGAACTTGTAAACTAAATGTGTAATGTATCTTTATGTAGTATTTGTTGTTAGTATCTGTTGTCAGTTCACAAATCTCTTAAGAAATGGTTAGAACTACCAACGACTCGAAGGATGAAAAAGGAAATCTTTAATTGATTATTGATTAAAAAATTTCAGCTATAAAGAAGAGCTGATAGTGATTTTTGCATCATCACCTTTTTCTTGCTTTTCCAACTTATAAACCACTTTGATATTCCTTATGCATTAATGAAAGAATGAGATAGACAAAATATAAATTTTTAAAATTAATCTACATGTTAACGTTTCTCTATTTTAGCATCCACATTAACAAGTTGCTAAACATTTTTCATGATAATAAGACTTATACACATTATAAAGGAGCTAGTGATCCATCCACTACCCTCAAATATGGTTCAAAATATA